TCATGCCCTCACCCCCCTGGTGTCTGTGTCCACTGGTTATGCTTATATGCATGCATACAAGTCCTTTGGTTGATCTCTCCTCAGGAATATTTTTTGAGGACTACATAATTACTATTGTTTCTTAAGAAACTGCCCCTTTTGCCCTGGCTGGTTTGGCTCAATGGATGGAGTCTGTGGGCCTTATACGGCCCAAGCACCAGACATTCCTCACCCCTGTTCAAAATGATTGAATTGGGAATTTTTTTTATTGATTACAGTATTACATATGTGTCCTTATCCCCCTATTACCCCCCCCCCACCTTCTGTTCATGCCCTCACCCCCCTGGTGTCTGTGTCCACTGGTAAGGCTTATATGCATGCATACAAGTCCTTTGGTTGATCTTTACCCCTTACCCCCTTTGAGGTTTGAGAAGCATCGATCAGACCGTCAAAGTTAACTTCACTTGAGACTCAGGTAAAATAGAGATGACAATAGAGCCTATTCTTAGGGAGACACGAGGGTTAATAACATAGGACATTTGAAATACTTACACTTTCTGAAACTGCCCCTTTCTAAACAACCTCCAAAACAGATGATGTTTCTGTCACTGGAGCCTGCAGACCTGGGCTCTGCTTCCAGCGTTGCCAGCATTCCCGCAGCCTTGGGAATATGCTTTTCCTTCCCTTGGCCTCAGTTTACACTAGATGGAATCTAAGTTCCCAGAAGAGCCCTACACTATACCAGTCAGCCTGTCAGCAACATCTCCTGTCACCTATAATGTGCCATTGGGTATGTGGGGCATCGTTAGACACACACATCTCAGGAGAACATCATTAGCAGAAATCAAATCTATTTTTCTTTGAAGACAGTGTCTGTAACTGACTGCACATAATCTCTGGTTTGTGAAGAAAATTAAAAAGGAAAAATTTCCCTCAAAAGGGAAAAGAGATCAAACAACCTCCCCAGAGCAGGCAGAGCTAATTTGCATTCGAACATGCTCTGCTCTTCCATCACCATTTCTAAAGGTATGAAAATAAGAAATTTTTCCTCATGGCTTTGATAGGTGCCCAATATCTATCTGAGGTACTTTGATGAGACATGTGCCTGTAGAATCCCAAGTATGTCTCCTTAACTTATCACTGGAGCACCCCAAAATACTTATGTGATAGCAAATTAGCCATAAATTGGTCCCCGCGGCAGTGATGGTCAAAAGATCAACAGTTTAGTGTCAGCCTTTGCTCTTCATGAACCCCTATCTCTAATCAGGTCATACATCATTCTCACAAAAGGTTGGCCAAATGCTCTGGGAATTTGCTGTCCCTTCAGCTCTAGGTAATGCTTATGTTAATCTGCTATAATTGAAACTTTGTTGATGCCAACTGTTTTCACAGCTGTTGCAGTTCCCTCAGGGTGTACACCAGCCCCAACTTCAGCTGATTGAACCTCCTTAGTTAGAGTGGGGTTAGGACCAGAGCTTCCTGATTTAATCATCATTACAGTACCTCGTAAAGAGAGGAAAGGAAAGAGCCTGTGCTAAGTGACCAGCCCTGTGCAGGCTCTGTGATATGCATTGACATCCCTTTTAATCCTCACAGTAATTCAGTAAGGTTAGAAGTCATATCTCAATTTTAGAGGTGAGAAATCAGTGCCAAAAGGGATTAAGTAAGTTGCTGAAGGTTACCCAGAAAATAAGACTTGAAACTAGTATTCTTGTCCAGAATCAAGCACCGGGGCTTTTATCACCCAGAAGAAAAAGAACAGATGGGCAAAATTATAATCAAGATCAATAGAAGGGTAACAGAAAAAAGGCAGTGGTAACTGGCACTTTTTAAACCAGAGGCAAAGGGTCCATGGTAGATGTTTAGTTTTAAAATAGAAGTCAGTAAATATACTGGGTCAGCTATTAAATTTTTTTAAAATCACTTAAAATATGAAATTTCCTAAGAAGGGTCAGGAAGCGAATTGAGAACTTTGAGTGTCTAAGGCTGCTAAAATCTCTTTACTCCCCATCCGAGGTCATATTATATAATAAGTGTATTCTAGATGACATTTAATGAGAATTTACTATGTTCTGGGCACTATTTTGGGCTCTTCACTTTTATAAACTCATGGAATCCTCTAATTGTCCTGTGGGGTATATGTATATGCTATTATCATGGCCATTTTGTAGATGAGGAAACTGCGACACGAAGGGATGAAGTGACTTGCCCAAGATTATGCAGGAAATTTAGGTTGAATGAACCCAAGCATCTGGCCCTAGAGCCAGTGCTCTTAACCACCATGCTTACTGTCACTACCCTAGGAAGCACCAGCCCCATTTCCATCAATGGATAAGACCAAAGGATCAGAAGAGGACACCAATGCTGCTGTATACGATTACAATTTTTCTGATTAAAATTTCTGAAATGCCATTCCAATGGTTGCAATATGCAGGAGATCAAGTGGCTTCTTGTAAGATACTCTATAGAATACCCTTGTATCTAGACCAATCATGGGCAGCACTACAGCCAGACCTATCGCCAGAGATTGTTTTCTCTATATCTATTACTTGCTGCCCTCAAAGACATCCCCAAAAGGATTAGTGCCTGTGGATTTATCCTATGCAAAAGTTGATACAATCACTTCTTTCTCAATTCCTTTAGCAGAAGCTAAAATTCTAGTAAGAAATGCTCTTTTTTTATTTTTTGCAGTATATAGTTCTAAAAAGAAAAGTTGATTTTGATGAGTGTGAGTTGGTAGATTTTCTCTGTACTTTCCTGTGCACCTGAGCTGATTATAACCATGATATCTCACTGGATTTCCTTGCCTGTCTTATTCTTTCTGTGATGAGTATGGCTTCATGTTTTTATCCTCAGATCCTAGCCTAGTGCCTGGCGGATTATAAGCACTCACTGTTTGTTCAATGAATTATAAGTTTAATGAGCTAAGACTCTTCCTGTCCTTCTAATTTAGAAGAAATTTCTTTAAACCAACTAATTCCCATAGCCAGGGAATGTCCAAGGACCCTAAGATTTCTGTCAACTCCCATGGTCTTGCAATATCAGCTTCTAGCCCCTGTATCCACATGGGCACAGAACTGGTTATGAAAAACGATGAACCTCAATCAAGTGTTTTGCAATCCAAGTAAAAATATTCTGCTAATTTAGGAGGAGATGTTGGTGGAGAAGGGGAGTCTCATCTTGGAGCCCAGGAGATGTCCCACTGACTCTCTGCATTTCTCTCTCTGCCCCACCCTATGAAGCAATAAGTAATTTCATCACCTTATCTGACCTCCTAAAGAACAGTTCCAACCACACCGAACTCCTCAAGATTTCACAGTCCACCTCAAGTACTTAAGATTTTCTTCCAAATAATGCAGGTCCCCATCTAGGCATAAGTCGGTCTCTGTGTTTTAAAGGGTAACTTTTTTAAACTCCTCGCAGAGTGAATTAAAAGAGGAAAAGATATGGTGACCACCCTCTTGCTTCCTCCTTCCTCTGGCTCCTCCAGTTTAGTTTTTCAAAATAACGATATTATTTTGCACAACCGTTTGCACTTCCTCTATTGCTACAAAGTCTAATGTGGCTGCAGGTGGACAGTCTTGTATTCCTAGTGAAGAGACATTATGTAAGAGGAAAAAATTGTAGCCCGCATTTTTCAATACCCACTATGTATCAGGGACTGTTATAAATTCTTTTTTTAATATATTTTTTATTGATTAAGATATTACATATGTGTCCTTATCCTCACCCCCTACCTGCCCCATGCTCTCACCCCCCCTGTTGTCCGTGTCCATTGGTTAGGCCTACAGTCTTGTTCCTAGTGAAGAGACATTATGTAAGAGGAAAAAATTGTAGCCCGCATTTTTCAATACCCACTATGTATCAGGGACTGTTATAAATTCTTTTTTTAATATATTTTTTATTGATTAAGATATTACATATGTGTGTAGAGAGAGATAGAAACATCAGTGATGAGAGAATCATTGATCAGCTGTCTCCTGCATGCCCCGCACTGTGCCCTCGACTGGAGTCGAACCTGGGACCGTTCAGTCCACAG